GCACAAGGCCCTGGGTTGGGTCCTCCGCTCTTAAAAAAAAAAAAAAAAAAAACAACAAAATAACAAAAAGACCAAAAAAAAACAAGGTAACTGGTATACACACACATATACACACACATACACACACAGAAGGCTCAGGACACACACATACACACACACACACACACATATATGTGGGGGGGGAAGGAGTTTTTTTTGTTTTTTTGTTTTTTTTTGTTTTGGTTTTTGGAGACAGGGTTTCTCTGTGTAGCCCTGGCTGTCCTGGAACCTCTGTAGACCAGGCTGGCCTCGAACTCAGAAATCCGCCTGCCTCTGCCTCCCAAGTGCTGGGATTAAAGGCGTGCGCCACCACCGCCCGGCCGGGGAAGGAGTTAAACCCTGAGATGCAGGCTATTATTCCAGCCACTCTTCAGGCTGAAACCAGAGGATTGCATGTTCAAAGCTCACCTGGGCTACAAAATGAGTTCAAAATCATCCTGGCAACTTAGCAAAACTTTGTCTCAAAATAAAAATGAGAAACAAAAAAAGATCTGGAGAAGTAGCTGGACAGCAGGGCTCTCCTTTAGTCAGGTAGTCACTGGACGTCTCTTTCTATCACTTTCCACGTTGTTCTTTAAAGACTGGCTGTCCAGTAAGTCCAGGGACCCTCCTATCGGGGTCTCCGTGACCAGACTTTTTAAAGACAAGATCTCACCAGCCAAGACTACACAGAAAAACCCTTTCTCGAAAAAATAAAAAACAACAAAACAAAAAGACAAGATCCCACTATGTAGCCCTGACTGGCCTGGAAATTTATGTGTAGACCAGGCTGGCCTCAAATCCACAGGATGGCTTGCGTCTGCCTCCTGAGTATTGGAATTAAAGGCACGTGACACTACACATGGTCTCATAACTAACTTTTTGGTGTGGGAGGTGGGAAAGGCAGAGACAGGAGGATCTCAGTAAGTTCCAGAAAGATATAAAGCTGGGAAGGGCCGGGCTGTAGTGGCGCACGCCTTTAATCCCAGCACTTGGGAGGCAGAGGCAGGCGGATTTCTGAGTTCGAGGCCAGCCTGGTCTACAGAGTGAGTTCCAGGACAGCCAGGGCTGCACAGAGAAACCCTGTCTTGAAAAACAAAAAACAAACAACAACAACAACAAAGCTGGGAAGGGAAAGGCCAGGTTTAGCTGGGAGACCTCTTGGTGCAGGTTTCCATCCGACCAGCAGAGGGCGCCTGGGACCCCTTTTCCCCGAAAGTGACTAGCTATCAATGTCCTTTACCCCATAAGAAGGGACTATTTTTTACCTAGTGTCATTAGACACCGGTGGCTGGAAAGCCATCTTCTGTCTGCCCTTCGGCTCCCGACAGTGACCCTGCGCATCTCCCAGGCCGACTCTAGACCCTTCCAGGCAAGTCCTACCTCATTTGGCGCCATTCTTGGCTTCAGCTCAGACTTTATTAATCTCAAAACACGTACAGAAATTCTAAGTTCAAACACCGGAGCTCTTAATGGCCAGGGATCCGGCGCACAGAGGCAACAGTTCACAGTTGCAAAAGAGGCTCCAAGAATTCTCAAAGCATCAGGGCCGCTGCAGAGCCCCTTAGGAGAGGAATAAACACATGACGCCAGACACACAAAAAGACGCTCGTTCGTTGAAAGAGAAATAAAGCCAGCAACAAATCCAGATGTGGTACACATCTGTCATCCCAGCAGTCGGGAGGCAGAAACAAGAGTACTGCAATATTGAGCCAGTCTGAGATACATACCCAAACCCAGTGTCTGTAAAATAATAATAATAATAAATAAAAGGCAGAAATATACAGAGGCTCCCAGCAGAGAGACAGATGTGGGTGACAACTAGTTAAGCGGATACATCCCCCCAGGAGGACGGCCTAGACACAGAAAGACTGGAAATTGGAAATGGAAGAGGGAAACAAATGCTGCAGATAGACTCGGTGGCTCATGACGACAGCCAACCGAAGGATGAGGCAGAGGATCGCCACAAGTTTGCCAGAAGCTTAAATGACAGACTGAGAAGACTGTCTAAATAACAAACAAACAAATAAATAGCCATGATCCCATACGCCTGCAATCCCAGCATTTGGGAGGTGGAGGCAGGAGGATCGCAAATTCAAGGTCATTTCAGCCACACAGAGTTCTAGGCCACTTTGGGCTACATAAGACTTCGAGTCATGAAACCAAAAGCCAAACAAATAAAATAGATGACTACAAGGGAAAGTCCATGAGACTCTCGGAAACGCGCCCGGGTGGCAGTGGGGAAGGGCAGGTACGGGAACGGCAGAGGGCGCCCCGCGCCCCACGGGGTAACGCGGCCCCCTCCCCCGCGCCCTGGCCGGACTTTCCATGCTATTTTTACGCTCGGACACCGGACACCCGGCTGGGGTGGCTGCGGCGTCGGGGCCACACGTCCGTTCACCGGTCGCCCGGGCTGTGCGCGCCATGGAGCCGCGGTGCCCGCCGCCCTGCGGCTGCTGCGAGCGGCTGGTGCTCAACGTGGCCGGGTTGCGCTTCGAGACCCGCGCGCGCACGCTCGGCCGCTTCCCGGACACGCTGCTGGGGGACCCGGTGCGCCGCAGCCGCTTCTACGACGGCGCGCGCCGCGAGTATTTCTTCGACCGACACCGGCCCAGCTTCGATGCGGTGCTTTATTATTACCAGTCGGGCGGCCGGCTGAGACGGCCGGCGCACGTGCCCCTCGACGTCTTCCTGGAGGAGGTGTCCTTCTACGGGCTGGGCGCGGCGGCGCTGGCGCGGCTGCGGGAAGACGAGGGCTGTGCGGTGCCGCCCGAGCGGCCGCTGCCCCGCCGCGCCTTTGCGCGCCAGCTCTGGCTGCTCTTCGAATTTCCCGAGAGCTCGCAGGCCGCGCGCGTGCTCGCAGTGGTCTCCGTGCTCGTCATCCTGGTCTCCATCGTGGTCTTTTGCCTCGAGACGCTGCCAGACTTCCGCGACGACCGCGATGACCCGGGGCTCGCGCCGGTAGCCGCTGCTACTGGCCCGGTGAGGGGCGGTGATTTGGGGAGGGCCAGGGCGGGGCCTTGGAAGACCTGGCCAGTCAGAAGGTGTGGCAAGGGGCAGGAGGATGAAAGCTCTTAAAAAAAAAAAAAAATCAAAGATGTATGCAGGGTGCTTCATACGTGAATCCCAGCAAGGAGATCGAGACAGGACGATTGCCACCGGTTGAAGGCCAGTCTGGGTTACTGTATGAGACAGCCGGCCTCGAAACAGACAGTGACTGAGGATTTGCCTCAGAGGTAGACAACCTGCCCAGAATTCCCCAGGTGCCTGGCTCAGTGGTAGATCATCTCCATTGAATCACAAAGTGACTTGGGGGTTATGTGGTTCAGAACTCCTACCTATCACGCTATAGTGAGGGACCTGGAGAGATGGCTAAGCAATAAAGACACTGCTCTCCCAGAGGACCTAGGTTCGATTCCCAGCACCCACAGAATGACTGATAACCATCTGTATGTAACTCCAGTTCCAGGGGATCCAGTGACCTCTTCTGGCCACCTTGACCGAACACCAAGGCACACACATGGTGCATATGTGTGTGTGTGTGTGTGTGTGTGTGTGTGCAGACAAACCATCCATTCACATAAAATAAATAAGTTCTAAGAAGAAGAAGAATCCCCAGTGAGGCTTGGGACACGGACCAATAGGGAGCAACTTGCCAAGCACGTGCTAGGCCCTGGGTTCCATCCCTAGCTGTGCTAACTGAATGTGTGAGGCCAAAGACACGGACAGACTGCAGTGCCCGTGCATCTGGCAGGGAACTAGGAAGGATAGATAGATGGTCAGGCAGGGCTGACTGTCAGGAAACTGGGACATGGTAGGTTGCGGTTAGGACTGAGGGCAGAGGCAGCAATGGAAATTTGCACAGAATCAGGCAGGGGTGTGGAGCTGAGGGCCATACAGCAAAAACTTTAACCATTCTGAACTGTTATCTACTGTCTAGTCTGGGCTGAGGGCAACAGGAAACGGTAGGCACGAGGAAGGCAGAAGCAGAGCAGGACCCTGCGCTCGGAGAGTCGACACTGGGAAGGCAGAGCAAGACACTAGAAGGAAAGAGATTCTCCCGATCAACCACGAGATCAAGGGTTCCCACCAGCGAAAGAGCAGGATTGCATTTTGGCTACATCCATCTTTTTTTAATTATACACACGTGAAAAGATAAACAGGTTTGACTATGTAGCTGGCCCAGGGTGGTCTGAACTTGCTATGTAGACAGCTATATAGACCAAGACTAGACTTAAACTCACAGAGATCCAACGGTTCTGCCTTCTGAGTGCTGGGGTTGAAGGTGACAACCACAACACTTGACCGTGTTTTAATCCCTGAGGTACTGTGATACAACCCAGGGCATCAGGCAAACGCTCCACCACTGATCCAAGCCTGCAGACCCTCACTGGATGATGGTAGACAGGAGCGCTACCATTGAACCACACCACTAACCTCCTTGGGGGGAGTCTAGTTAGGAACTGCTATCACTGGGTCACACCCTGAGCCCCCCTCTCTGGGACATTCAGAACAGGGCTCCACCATTGAGCCACACCCTGAGCCCCTCACAGAGGGGTTCTAAGCAGGATCTTTGCCAATGAACTTCACCCCCAATCTTCTTTTCACCTTGTATTTTGAGACAGTCTCATTAGTTGTCCAGATGTGCCTTGAAATGACTTGTCCTGCCTCAGGCTCCTGAGTGTGGCTTGTGTCGCCAGGCCCAGGGGACACCACCTTTTCTTCCCACTGGTCTGAAGAGCAGACATTCAGCTATCCAAAGGCAGTCGGTCGCTGGGGTCTTGAGTTGTGTAGGACAGTGAGGTGACCCCTCAGGAACACTAATGCTGCCACTACCATATTGAAACAGTGACTAGAGGTGTTAGCCTGGCTCCCTGACCCCTTTCTGTCCCCCCTGCAGTTCCTTGCTCGACTGAATGGCTCCAGTCCTGTGCCAGGAGCTCCTCTCCGACAGCCCTTCAACGATCCATTCTTTGTGGTGGAGACCCTGTGTATCTGCTGGTTCTCCTTCGAGCTGCTGGTGCGTCTGGCGGCCTGCCCAAGCAAAGCCGTATTTTTCAAGAATGTGATGAACCTTATTGACTTTGTGGCCATCCTGCCTTACTTTGTGGCCCTGGGCACAGAGTTAGCACGGCAGCGGGGTGTTGGCCAGCCAGCTATGTCCCTGGCCATCCTAAGGGTCATCCGATTGGTACGTGTTTTCCGCATCTTCAAGCTATCCAGGCATTCGAAGGGCCTACAGATCTTGGGTCAGACACTGCGGGCTTCCATGCGTGAGCTAGGTCTCCTCATCTTCTTCCTCTTCATCGGCGTGGTCCTCTTTTCCAGTGCAGTCTACTTTGCTGAAGTGGACCGGGTGGACACCCATTTCACCAGCATCCCGGAGTCCTTTTGGTGGGCAGTGGTCACCATGACCACTGTCGGCTATGGGGACATGGCACCCGTCACTGTGGGTGGCAAGATCGTGGGCTCTCTGTGTGCCATTGCTGGCGTGCTCACCATCTCTCTGCCTGTGCCTGTCATTGTCTCTAACTTTAGCTACTTTTACCACCGGGAGACAGAGGGTGAAGAGGCAGGGATGTACAGCCATGTGGACACACAGCCCTGCGGTACCCTGGAGGGGAAGGCTAATGGCGGGCTGGTGGACTCGGAGGTGCCTGAACTCCTCCCACCACTCTGGCCTCCTGCTGGAAAACACATGGTGACTGAGGTGTGAGGGACAATGGGGTCTCCAGGAAGCAGTGGGGTGGGAGGGAGGAGGGAAGGCAGGGTCAGGTGCTGCGTTAAGGACTAAGGTGGTAACAAAAGGGCACAGAACCTGAATCTGAAGGCATGTCACATGGTAGCTCCTGGGGGACCTTATGTGACACGAATGGTCAGGATTTGGGTTGTGTCCAGGGCTTTCCCCATATTGGTTGTGCAATGTTGCGGAGCTGTACAAATCCCCAGGAGCCCTATGGGTAGCACTGTAAGAGGCTTGCTCATATATTGTGAGTTTCCTAGGTGTATGTGGGGTCCCACTGGGGGCAAGTGTGGTCTGGTTCAAGTGTATGATAAGTAGTTACGGCGCTTCGAGTCCTCTGGGGCCAAGTTGGCTCCTGTAGGTCTCCAGAGTCCTATTAAGAGTAAGCACGTGGCTACACAGTCACACGCGGAGGTTACGTGGAGATACATAGCAGACTGTACGGTTTCGTGTCTTTTCTAGGACTCAGTTATTTTAGACTCTGTGGGCTCCTGCAGCCAGAATGTGATCACCCTGGGTCCTGGTGGGAAAGGGTGAGGGTATAAATGATAGGAGGAGGCAGAGACTGGGAGAGAGGGACAGAAGAGACCCAAGCCACTGTTTTCTGTGTTGTTTATAGATTTATAGGGCGGGAACCGTTCTAGGGCCATGCAAAGCTGAGCTGTGTGACCAGATGAGTCTCCTAACACTTGAGTCTGATGACTTTTTTGGTCTCATGGGACCATGCTGACTCCTGTCACTGTGAGCCCTGTGGAAATGTTGGTTGAATTTGATTGTATGTGAAGGCCATAGGGCTGTGGGGCCATTTTAAGTAGTAGCATCAGGATCCAAGGGTCACAACACAGATAAAACTAACTACAAGGCAGCAAGCATGGACACATGGACATGTAGCCCACTGAACAAGCTTGCTCAGGGATATGCACTGTAGAGGTGGCGGTTTCTGTCTCCCTGGGTTCCCCCTGCCCCAAATACCCGGAAAGACTGTGGGAACTAGAAGCCTTCTTACCTTGCTCACGTGGGACCCATTTCTACGTTGTCTCATGCTGTGGGTACAGAGATTGAGAGGTTGGAGCCACAAGGAAAGAAAACACAGTAGGGGAAGAGTCAGTACTTGAAAAAGATGGGCAGGGGACAGAGATCTAGAAGAAGGAAGGAGGGAGAGACAGAGAGGAGAAAGAAATCAGTAATGAAGATGTACAACCAGTGATGGATGTCAGACATGCAGAAAGAGGGAGAGATGCATGAGAGAGGGAGGGGAGAGACAGAGAGAGACAGAGAGAGACAGAGAAAGGGGGGGCCCTGGAGCCCAAGGGTCATCCTCTCTGTTCTCTGAGTCATAACAGACTCTAAGCCATGGCGTCAGCATCCCTCACAGCCAAGGAAGGTCACCACACTCCTAGAGGTGCTCAGTGTTTCCTAGGACAGAAACCCAAGGCTGTAAAGTGCTATGGCTTCCCCCAAGGTCACCCAGCACGTCATAGGACCAGGGCTGGTGGCAGGTGGCCTACCTGTGACACCCCCACAACTTCTGGTGTGCAGGTATTGCCTGAGGCCACTAGTCCTGTATCTTTTGTTTTTATCCTTTGAAACAGAGTCCCTCTATGTAGTATTGGCTGTCCTGGAACTCACTACGGAGACAGGCTGGCCTTGAATTCACAGAGCTCCTTCTGTTTCTGCCTCCCATGTGCTGGGATTAAAGCTGGGGGGGGGTGTCATCAAGTCTGGCAAGACCTTGCCTCTTCTAGAGAAGGAAGCTGATATTGGAGGGAACAGTATCACCCTAAGCCCCAGGGAAGCATTTTTGGAGTTTTCTGGGACTGAGAGACATTTTGGGGAGCAGGAGAGGTTACAATCACTAACAAGAGTTCAAGGCATTAACTGGCATTAACTTATTAAAACCTGTTGACTGGTGCCTAGTGTTGTTATTCTTGATAACGATATCACCTACTTTAGTCATATGAACTCTTGCTTAAGACCTGAGGGTGAAGCATCTTAGAGGGGCTGCCAGGAGGCTTTGGCTCCTCTCAGCCATCTAAGCCATCAGGGAAAGGATGAGGGGAACTGCCTTCACCACCGCCCATATCGCCATAAGAGAGAGAGGAAGGGGGGATGGTGGCAAGGGTGTGACAGTGACAGACATGACAAAATCTCAGGGTGGGCACTTCACTCCACAGACCCACTGTCACTGCACAGATCTGCACAGGGACCAAAGACAGATGTAGGACACAGAATCTATCACAGAATACAGGGGAAAGGTGCTGGGGGCAGAGGGGGAAGCATGCCCTGGAGAGAGAGAAGACAGATGCTCAGAGAGCAGGGAGATCAGGAAAGGGGATGGGGGGGCATAGGGAGGGAGGAAGGGAGGGAGGGAGGGAGGGAGAAAGAGAGAGAGAGAGAGAGAGAGAGAGAGAGAGAGAGAGAGAGAGAGAGAATAAGAGATCAAGACAAGAGACACAATTTCCTTCTCTATAGACTTCTCCCCTGATGTCCAGAGTTGAAGTCCCTTGATAAGAATGGACCAGGTCAGGAAAAAATGAAAGGTCAGAGAGGTGACCCAAATGGACACCCAGACTAGGAAGTGTCCCATCCCACCTCCAGTAAACAACCTGAGTGGGGTCTGAGTCACCATGCATGGCTGGGATGGCACCTTGAGGGGAACACCCTAATCCGGGGACACCCTTCCTGCTACTTTGCCATGCTATATTTAGGTTGGGGGGATGGGTGCTGGGTGACCCCCCCAAAGGCAAGTGTCAGCTTTCCTCCTAAATATAGCTCAGGGGTAGGGGAACTAGAGTCCCAGAGTGGGGGTATGGCAGAGCAAAGGGCCTTGACACCCAAGAGCCCGTCTGCTGCAGAGACACCCTGCTTTAGGTCTCTCCAGCATCCTGCCTTTCTTTCTGAGGTCCACTCCTTGGGGTGTTTTCCTCCTTCTAGGCCTCTGTCTCTCTGGCTGGGTTTTTGTCGCCCTGTGTCTTATGGTCACAGCTGGCTGTTTCGCTAGGCAGGTCACAGTTCTGAAAGCCCATCATGGTCTCCTCACTCTAATTACCTTGAAGTTTTCTTATCCACTCCAAGACTTCCTGGTCCCCGGCCAAGAAATTCCAGGATAGAAGACTATGTGGGGGAGCCCGGACAGTCACTGTCTCCAGGCATGGAGCCTTATCACTGCACAAGCCCAGCTGGCTAATGTCTGGCTGGGAGACCCAGGAGGGGAGACAGGAGCGGAGGGTGGGAACCTGCACTAGACACCATAGCTATCCCAGGCCTGAGTCCGGGTTTGAAGGGAAGGGCTGAGGTTCTGAACACTGGGTCTAAGGGAGGAGGACTGGGGTCTGGACCCCTGTGTCTGAAGAAGGCGGGCTGGAGCCTGGACCTCTGGGTCTGAGGGAGGAGGGGCGGGGTGTGGACCCCAGTGTCTGATGGAGGAGGGTTACAGCCTAGACTTCTAAAGCTGAAGTGGCCGAGGCCAGGCTTCCGAGGTGCCGGCCCGCGCGTGCTAGGCGGGATCCGCCGCCCCTCCTCCGCCGTCGGGCGCCGCCCCGCCTCCTCCCAGACCCAGGCCCTCCCAAGCGCAAACGGCGAGCAGCCGGCGAGCAGCGGGCGTCCGAGCTGCCAGCGAGCCGGAGGAGGAGCCGCAGCGGCGCCAGGGGCAGCCGGGGAGCAGAGAAGGGCGCCCCAGGTAAGAGCTCCGCGCCTCCTCTGGCAGATTCCACGGTCCGGGTCGCCCGGCCCCCGGGTAGGGAGGGACGGGGGCGGGGCCGACAGGGGCGGGGTTTGGCGGAGGAAACTGAGGCAGGACGGAAGTCTCTTAGAGGTGGAGCGGATCCCCTTCCAACCGACTCAAGAGCAGGGAGCCCCAGCCCAATTTTTCTGGATGTGGAAGCAGGGAATCTCCATTTACGAACACCTTGGAGGAGGGACCACAACCCTAGAACCTGTGGGTCTGAGGGAGGAGGCGTCTGGAGTCCAAGAAACTTAAGTCTGCAGGAGGAGGCATCTGGGGAACCAGGTCACCCTCGCTGAGGGAGGATGGCTCAGGAGCCTTGGGCCCCTGGGTCTGAGGAAGGAGACAGCTGTGGACCTGGACACAGTCTGAGGGAGGAGGCATCGGGCACCCGCACTCCCTGTAGTGGTTTGGAAAACCTCTGCCCCTGATCACACTCAACACTTCCCATTCCCCCACCTCGGAGCCTGGCCAGCCAGACACTCCAGGTATGCGCAGTCGGAGTCTTGGGCGGGCCCTGGCCTGTCCTGCGAGGAGCGAACATTCCAGGAAGCAGCCTCAGGGACCCAGAGCGTGGGCCGGCGGGACCCGGGTGTCCAGGCCAGCCCCACCCCCGCCGCGTTTAATGGAGGAACGGGAGGAGGGGATGTAATCTCTTCCAGTTGCCTCACCTGCCCCTCCTTTCTACTCCCCCCCATCTGCTTCCCATCCCTCCAAAGCTGTCACCTGCACAGGGAGGGAGGGGGGAACCTCTGGGTGGGCGGGGCCTCTACTCCAGGGTACCCTAGACTTCCAAAGACGCTCTGCAAAGGGTGGCTTTTTATGGAGAGGTCGCGCCCTTCCCCCATCTGCCTATATAACTGCTTTCCTTCCTCCCACAGGTGGTTGCCCCCTCCCTCTCCTGAGATGTCAGGGAGGAGACTACCTGTATCCTACACAGGGGCCCCACACAGCCTGGGGGCCCCCATCCCCAGAGTGAGGCGGTGGAGGTGCTGTTGACAGGTCTGGTATTCATTCACCGGCTGCTTTCCAGTCCTGGCCCAGCTTCTAGAATGTTCTAGTCTCTCCATCTCTCTCCCAGCATCTCCCAGCAACCAAGTCAGTCTCACACTCAGGGAAATCAAGCCCATGAAAACGGCAGGATTCGAGGGCTCCTTCAGGTTATAGGAACACGAGGGCCAAGTGGCAATGCTCAGAGTTCAGATCTTACCCACGCCACTTCCTGGCTGTGTGACCCGGCAGAAAGCATTTCTCCTTGTGTTTGACTGTACAGCCCTGGCTGGCATGGAACTCATGCAAAGGGGTCAGGCCTCAAACTTGTGGCCATCTTCCTGCTTCTGCCTCCTGGTTGCTGAGGTTACAGGGTGCATTACCACACCCAATTTTGCCAATTTACTTACACTAACTGAATGCTTATCATTAACCCAAAAGTTAAGCATTCCCGGGTTCTAGAGCATAAGGTATCCCTAAGGTCCTCCCGTCGTCGGCCAAGCTGGCATCTGCCCTCGGGTGGGGCAGGAGGAGGGTCCCGACTCCCGTTACTCAGGTGCCTTCCTTGTCCTCTAACAACAGCCTCTCTCTCCATCTTCAGGTGTGCAAGCCATGCTCCCTCGCCACTCCTGCTCGCTTCTTCTTCTCCTTTTCTTCCTCCCCAGTGTCCCCATGGAGCCCCAACCCCCATCCTCCACCCTGCCCCCATTTCTGGCCCCTGAGTGGGACCTCTTGTCTCCTCGAGTGGCCCTGTCAAGGGGCGCCCCTGCTGGGCCCCCTCTCCTCTTCCTGCTGGAGGCTGGGGCCTATGGGGAGCCGGCAGGGGCCCCAGCCAACCGCAGCCGGCGCGGGGTGAGTGAGACGGCACCCGCAAGCCGCCGGGGTGAGCTGGCAGTGTGCGACGCAGTGAGTGGCTGGGTGACCGACCGGCGGACAGCTGTGGACTTGCGTGGGCGCGAGGTGGAGGTGCTGGGCGAGGTGCCTGCGGCAGGTGGCAGTCCCCTGCGTCAGTACTTCTTCGAGACGCGCTGCAAGGCCGAAAGCGCTGGGGAAGGTGGCCCAGGTGTGGGCGGAGGGGGTTGTCGTGGCGTGGATCGGAGGCACTGGCTCTCAGAATGCAAGGCTAAGCAGTCCTACGTGCGGGCGTTGACTGCAGATTCCCAGGGCCGCGTGGGCTGGCGCTGGATTCGGATCGACACAGCTTGCGTCTGCACGCTCCTCAGCCGAACAGGCCGGGCCTGAGGTCCAGGCTTGAGGTCCAGGCTTGGGAACTGCCCAGGTTGAGGGAGGAAAAAAAAAAAAAAAAACAGCTGGATGGTGAAAGGACCACAGGGATGGCCCGGCTGCTCTACCACGCCTTCTGACTGGGAACTGAAATAACCACAGAATCAACTCTCTCTCATTTTGAGAGCTCAGTCCGTGTGGAATGTATGATGGAAACAAATGGGGTTTCAAGTGATGAAAAGGAGTTCTCCCAGAGGAACTTCGACATTAATAATCATAGCCAATGTTTACTATTTGCTGTTTATCAGACCTAATATATGACTCTGCTAACCATTTTAACATCAGAGGACCCTGGCTCACCATGGCAAGAGGGGCAAGGAAAGAACACATGATGCATGAGCCAGGGCTAGACCTGGATCGGTAGGCTGTTTCTGGTTGCCTAGCATGCACACAGTCCTGGGCTGTATCTTAAGCACCGCATCATAAACCATGCATGGTGGTACCCATCGGCAGTGCCAGTACTTGGGAAGTAAAGGCAGGTAGATCAGGAGTCGATGGCCATCCTTAGCTACACAGGGAGATTGAAGCCAGTCTTGTTTATGTGAGAATCTATCTTAATAAAATAAAAAGGCTTGGGTCTGGGTGTTGTGATATGTATCTGTAATCCCAATACTTGAGAGATTGCAGACAGAAGATTGCCTGGAGGTCCAGGGCAGTCTGGGCTACATAAACTGTTCTGTCTGGGGCCAGGGCAAATGGCTCAGGTGGGAAAACAGTGAAAGCAATTGGCTGCAGAACAGTGAGGATGTGATGGGGAATTCCCCGGGAGCCTAGGCTTACCAGAGAAGTCTGACCTGGCCAAGGCACACCACCCAGGGAGTGAAGCAAGCATGGATACCTCACATCCAGAGTGGCCCCTGATCTTTTTTGTTCAACTCTAATTTGGAGACAGAGTCTACTCATGCAGCTCATTGGAGGGTGGACCTTGAACTTTTTTTTTTCAAGAGAGGGTCTCTCTGTGTAGCTCTGGCTGTTCTGGAACTTACTCTGTAGACCAGGCTGACCTCAAACTCAGAAATCTGCCTGTCTTCACCTCCCCAATGCTGGCATTAAAGTGTATGCAGTGTGGAGATGGAATCCAGGACTTCCTTCGTGCTAGGCAAGCACTCCATCATCTGAACCACACCCCCCACTACCTTTTTTTAATGCTTTGGGACATATTTTCACGACACTTAGGCTGGCCTAGAACTGGAATGTTGCTGAGGACGACCTTAATCTTTTCTCTTTAAAAAAAAAATTCTTTACTTTTATGTGTATCAAGTGTTTTGCCTGCATGTATGGATGTCTGCATGCATGCATGGGTGTCCACAGCAGCCACAAGAATATTGACTACCCTTGGGCCTGGAGTTAAAGATGGTTGTGAAGCACCAAGTGGGTGCTGAGAACTGAACCTGGGAACCCCTGATACATTGTTTTTCCAGCCCCGACCTTAATTTCTTTTTTTTTTTTTTTTTTTTTGGTTTTTTCGAGACAGGGTTTCTCTGTGGAGCCCTGGCTGTCCTGGAACTCACTCTGTAGACCAGGCTAGCCTCGAACTCTCGAACTCAGAGATCCACCTGCCTCTGCCTCCCAAGTGCTGGGATTAAAGGCGTGCGCCACCACCGCCCGGCCCGACCTTAATTTCTTAAGTGCTGGGATCACGGGTGTGTGCAATCACACCACACCTGGGAGACAGCGTCTCTCTAGAGTAGATCAGGCTGGACTGGTAACTCTCAAGCCTCAGCCTCCTTAGTGTTGGAGAAACAGGCCTATGATCCCACAGGAGAGTGGATAAAGGCCAGCTTCTTCCACCCTGCGTGAACCTGGACCACCTGCGTGAGCCTGGCAGACTCCACCACTGATGCTCTGAGGGTAGCCCTATTCCCACCCTCTAACCTCCTCCTGCCCTCTCTGACTTCCCATCTCTTTTCTGAGTGAGGAGCCCAGGCTCCCCACCCCCCTTTTCTAAGTGTTTCCTGGTGTATTTCTTTCCCTCAGTCTCCCCAGCCCCCCATACCCAGGTGGAAGTTTTCAACCAAATGAAAGGCAGGCAGGACTGGGGACGCTCAGCCTTCATGGAAAAGAGCTGTCTGGAAACTGTTACCCCGAGGTGGGCAGGCCTGGCAACCGAGAGCCAGGGGCCCTAATGGGAAAGGGGCGTTTAGTTCCTCTCCCCCTGAGTCAGGCTGTCTGTCTGCTGTGTCCCCTCCCCTGACCTCCCGCTTCCTTTCTCCCCCTCCGTTAGGAGTCTCCACCTTTCCCTATGTATCTGTGTTTCCTTTTGGGTCTTTAAATCCTCTTCTCTAAGTCCTAGTTAGGGTTCCCCTAACCCTCCACACGCCATTGGCTGGGTTCAGAGTGTGCAGGTTCTGTTACCAGGGGCAACGGCCACAACAAGCCGGTTTCTTGGCTTCCCAGAGAGGGTGAGGACCATGGCAGGTCGGACCCTAGCTCTGCGATATGGGCCCCCTTGGTCCCCCATTCCTGAAAAGGAGGTGGCTGGAAACTGGCCCAACTGGCATCTCACCAGCAGCGGGGTCGCCCACCACAGGATCCCACTGGCGTCCTTTACCCTGCCTACTCTACAGGTAAGAGGGTGAGAAAGGGGGCAGTTCACAAACTTGTGTGCCAGGAGGAAAGAGGACTAGGGTTAGGTTTCTGTCTGAAGTTGGAGGGGCCTGGGAGCCCAGGAGTTGGAGGAAGGAAAGGGGGTGGTTTCTTGGGTCTTTAGGCTGAAGTATGCGCCCTCTCCTCAGTCTCCGGTCAAGGTGCCCCTGCCTGCAGCCTTGAAGCAGGACCCACATATCTGGGCTTTTGACGAAGTCATCAGCAGATGGGAAACCACTTCAGGCTCGGCACACACTCCCAAGTCACGCCATGGTCCCTGTGCTCAGCCCAAGGCACCAGAGCATGAGGACCCCAGGCGGACACTAGGCATCAAGTCTTTGGCAGAAAAGGTAGGGTTCTGGGATCCAGTAGTCTGAGGGTGAGAGGGTTGGACACTGGAGCCCTTCTCCCTCACCTTGAATCTTGGGGCTCCCTTCTTGTAGCTAAGAAGACATGAGGGCCGGGGTGTCCCCCTGATCACCAAATACCAGATCAGCGAGACGAAGGCACAGTACAAGGGCTGGCCAGATCTGGATCAGAGTGTCCCCCTCTTTGCAGAGCCCCAATCCATGGAGCTCACTGACCACCATCGCGGGGGACCTTCTCAGGTAGAGTGGGCTACATGGGCACCGCAGGAAGGAGCCTAGGCTGTCCAAGAGGGCTAGGGACCAGACTGTGCTGTTGGGCTGAAGGAAGCTGGCATTCTACAGGGTAGCTAGAAGGTATTGGATTGGGAGTCAGGGTACTGAGTCTTGAACTGTGGGGGATAGAGCCAGAAGTTTCGGAAGTTGCTTCTTGAAGCTGTGGGCTGCTGGTGTGATGAGCTAAGTTCGTTAGGTGGTTGCTCCCCAGAGCTGCACTAGAATACTCTGAGACAAGTTTGGGTTAGCAGATGACTTGGCAAGAAGCAGTCAGGTGGGATTGTCATCCAAGATGTACTTAACACCCAGTGTCAGGGTAACGGTTTTGACTAGGAAGGAAACTAGAAAAGGGTGTGGCTGCAACAAGAGTCTGGGTTCTTGGCCACTGTTTGGATAGGGTGCAGGATTTGAGGCACTAAGACTAGTGTGGGGGTGGGTAAGGGCTTTGAACACAATCTTTCTTATTCATTTCCCAATATTCCTCAGGCCCTAGTCCCCTGGACGAGGAACCCCGAGTTGGCTGGCCAACCCTTCACAGTGAACAAGATGGGTGTCCTAGATCGGCTCCAACCCTATCTGACCACTTCTGCACGTGACTTCACAAGGTGAGCTTGTGCCCAGCAGGTGCTGGTGAGCAAACCCTTCCTTGGCAGTTCCAACTCTTCAGCTCCTCAGAGCCTCTTCCAAGGCAGCAAGAAACCATTTCTAGACCCTTCAGTCCCCTGGAATCTGAACTCTGCTGTTCTTGGACCTACTCACCTGCTGCCCCGCCCACAGGAAGTTGGCTGAATATCCCTACCAGAAATCGGTGATGGGACAGAGCTGGCCAAAGAAGGCATCCCGCCAAGAGCTGGAAAGTCCACCGAGGATGCGCCCAGCCCGTGTGCGCCCATCGCAACCGGTCGTGCCATACCTGGGAGCCCTGTCTCTGACCCGAGAGTCCTACGGACCCTTGGTGCACCCGCTCCGTAGGATGGATCGCTTTTGCCCAGTAGACGCACCCTGGGGCGGCCCCCACCGGAAGCCAGTGGCAGGCCTCTACAGTGTACCCAAGGCCTACTGCACTGAGAATTCCCGCTATGGGAGTGCCAGGGCGGAGCTGGTGTGAGCATGTGAAGCCCACCCACCACGCAAATGCCAGCATTGGATTTGTGGGCGGGCCAACCCAGACACACCCCTTACTTCAAGAAGTTTTATAGCTGAAACCACACCCATTTCTGGACCCAATCCAGGCATCCTGATTAGGGGGCTGGACGTGAGGTGGAGCTCTACCTCTGGTTGCATTGAAAGCAAATTTGGAGGCCTACTTCGGAACCTAAGGTCCCTAAAGATATCTAATGCTGAAGCTGTGCCCTCCCTCCTAGTTAGTTGTACACAACCACCAGAGTGGGCCTGATTGAGGTTTACTCCAGCATCCTGGGGGTCCAGCTAGCAGCCTGTAGAGCCCTCCCCTTTACCTTATTTCCTGTACTTCCAATGTCAGCTAAGCCCGGACACCTGGGCTGAGCGTGAGGCCAATTCACTGAGACACTGGAGCTGGTCCCTGGCTTCCCTGACCTTGTGTCTCGCCCCCAAAGAGATTAGTGTCTAGGTTACCCAAGCCTGTAGCCTCTGCTTAGTGGCCTTGCCACCCCCACAACCCGTAGGTATAAAGTCAAGTGCCCAAGGTAGGGAAGGCATCAAGAATGGAGAGGCTCCAGGTAAGACTGTAGGGCCCAGGGTACTACCAATTCCATCAGACCCATAGATGGACAGCCTTGTGACCTAGGAGATGGAGGGTGGGTATGGGGAGGGGGGGCTCCTAGTTGGTGGACTTCAAGCCGGAGAGAAATAGATTTGATGGTCTGTGATAGGTCTTGAATGACAGCTTCTATATTATACTGAGTGGGTCCAAAACCTGGGATGGAAAATCCAGGTCAGGGGTGGAGTGAGACACTGGCTATGTCCCAGGGGCTGCTGCTGTGGCTGCTGCTGAGCCCAAGTGTGCTGTGGGCCTCCAGGGGCCCCCTTCGGCCACTGTGTCGGCCTGTCAACGCAACCCTGGCTGCAGAGAACGAGTTCTGCCCAGTCTGCATCACCTTCACCACCACCATCTGTGCTGGCTACTGTCCTAGCATGGTGAGCCGACCAAATGGGTAGGGACATCACTTCTGACCTAAAGTGTTGCTACCTTAGCTAGGCTGACGACAGGTGGTGGCAGTGGGGTCCACGGAGATGGCACCTGGGCAGGGGTCATAGCTACTGTGGGGGTATGAAAGACCAGGTGGGCATTCTGCCTAGAATGGGTGTTATGTGGGGCAGGGACACTCAGATGAGGACTTTCTCCACCCTGCGCTCAGGTCCGAGTACTGCCTGCTGCCTTGCCTCCGGTGCCTCAGCCAGTGTGCACCTACCGTGAGCTGCGCTTCGCATCCGTCCACCTCCCTGGCTGCCCACCTGGTGTAGACCCTATAGTCTCCTTTCCTGTGGCCCTCAGCTGCCGCTGTGGGCCCTGCCGGCTCAGCAGCTCTGACTGTGGGGGTCCCAGGACTCAACCAATGGCCTGTGACCTCCCCCACCTCCCCGGCCTCCTCCTCTTCTGAGGCCCATCCCCTAAGTCCCCATTCTTCTGCAGCTAGCAGGTGTTCTAAGCACCTCTCCCAATAAAGGCTTTACAACTGCATTCCGCTGTTCTTTTGTGGGCTCCGAGGACACAGCAGAGCTCTAGTCTTCAATAATTTTATACAAAGTCACAGTGTGAGAACTTGTAGAAAACGGGGTGGGAAGGGCTGGGGTGCAGAGTCGGCTCAGGAGGTGTCCATTGTTTCGCCTTCTGCAGAGGGGAAGCCAATTGTGAGCGAGCTGGGTGCCCCCACGCAGCCCTCTCCCACAGCAGCAGCGGCCTAGTGACACTCACTGAGCTCATTGAAGAGGAAGGCGTCCTGGTATTCCTTCATGTACTGTGTGGAGCGGGACTCATCCAGGAAGAGGGAGTATACCCGCTTAATGTCATCCACCTGCACCTCTGTGCCCTGAGAACAGGTGGGACTCAGCTCATGTCAGCATGGCGCTATCCCACCCACCCCCAAGCTTTTTCCTCTAAAACGACCAGGCACCTGCTGTGGTTCTTAGTCCCCACTAAATAAATATCCATGTGCCATGGCCCTAGGGGCCATCCCTCAGTCCTCCAGGCTAACTGGCTGGCTGACCTTTCGTTTCCGGCACACCAGGCTGGCTGCCGTGATGAGCTGGATGGCGTAGCGCAGGGAGGTCTCGAGCCCGATGCGGGTCAGCACCGTGTAGGCATCCTCACTCATCTCCACATCTTCCTCCTCACAGCTGAGGGCAGGCAGGCCTCAGGCAGGCAGGCATGGCACGTCACCCCACCCCACCCCACCCCACCCCACCCCACCCCACCCCACCGATGGACACAGGAGAGGAGGCTAAAAGAGCCAAGGGACAGGGAGGCCCCCCACCGCCCCCCACCGCTGGCCCACCGGATGCGCAGGATCTGCTTGGTGTCCTTCTCGCTGTAGGGCGCTGTTGACACTATGAGCAGGCGGTCCAGCAGGTCGATGGGGATGCCGTGGGGACTCTGGTAGCTGGTGCCTCGGATGCTGGGGGTCAGGAAACACTGTTAATGGGTGTTTCGGAAAAACCTATGCGCTGCCATAGCCCACTTGGGAACTCAGTAACTATGTGAGCACAGGTTCTCTTCGCCTGTAAGCACACTTCACCCCAGCTGTGCTAGCGGCTGTGCTGTCCCCGCTGCCCAGGCAAACCCAGACAGTTCTTGGTGGCAATTTGTTTCTGGCATAAGGAGTTTAGCCATAAATGAAAATACTGTTCTCCAGGAGGTGGCTCAGGTCAGCTGCCAGAACCTAACCTACTATTCATGTACTTTCAGGGCCTGGGGAGCTGCAGGGGAACATCAGCTAGCAAAGGGGTCCGGAGGGCTGCCTCCCCTAACACCTTCAAATCTATGGCCTTGGGCAAGGTGCTCAGCTTGGCTGGCCTGCTCTGTGAAGTGGGAGTAGTGGGGAGAAGTGCAGGTAAGGTAGTCAGGTCCCAGCCTGGCAGGGCTGTCTGCCATCTGCCTTCACCTAACTCCAGTTCCAGGGGACCTCAACATTTCTCGTGGCATCTGTGGGTACCACATGCATATGTACACATATACAGATACACACATAAGAGTAGATCAGGGAAGAAAGAGGGGCTGGAGGGACGGTTAGAATCCATACCGTTCTTACAGAGAACCCCAGATACATTCCCAGGACCCACACGGGGTAGCTCACAACTGCTTCCAAGTCTAGCTGCAAGGGGTCTGCCCACACCTACATTCATGCGTGCACATATCACCTCCCTCCCCATAGTCACAGAAGAGGTTAAAAAAAAAAGGATGTCATGCTAAACACACGAGACAGGGTGCTATGCTTAATGAAGCCCATGAATCACCATCGGAGGAAGTCTGGCTCTCCAAACTTCAGTTTCTGTATTCTCTTAATTTGGGAACTATCTAGAAAAGCCCAGGTTAGCCTAGAATTCAAACCCCTCCTGTCTCAGCCTACGTAGTACTAGGCCTATGGTTGGTGCCCACATGTCCAGTAGCCCACAGCATTTTTAAGTCAAAACTTGTGGCCTGTGGTGATTAAGTGACAGGGTCTCAGTGACAGCTGATCACAGCAGTTTGTGACATACCTAATAGACAGTGCTGTGCTCAGCACAGGGTAAATTTCCAGGCACTTAGGGTGCCGGGGCCAACAGTTTTGAAGTCCAAGTTGAACAGGTTTTATACCTGCCCAGGGTTGTGAGGACCACACTGGAGGCGAGCTGAACAGACAGTCCATTTACCTTGACGACACCGACAACCCCTGGCCCAGAGGCCCTTTCTGCAGAGACCTCTAAAGCTGCTCACCGCGTGATGCCTCGGTTGGTGGCCATGATGAGGACAGGCGCCATGTCACTCTCCAGGGCTCGGTTGAGGAAAGAGAAACTCTCAATGTCCAGCATGTGGACCTCATCAATGAACAGCACCTAGAAGCCATTAGGGCACAGATCAAGCCCCCTCCACCCGGTGCCTCTAAACACACCCACCTGGGCTGCAGCCACTCACCCCAGGGATGATCTCCGCTTTGCCCTCCTCCCTCCACTCAGCCACTTTGGCATTGATCTGTTCTCGGACTTCTGACTTGATCTCCCCTGTGTCTCCTGCCAGAGACGGGGGTGTCAGAGTTAGAGACTGGATTCAGGACTGGGGTGGGTGAAGACAGAGAAAGAGGAACACTGGGGAGGAGGGCTGTGAGCTGCAGCAGCAGGGCCAGGACCCTCAAATGGCCCAGAGAGGACAGAAGCAGAGACCCAAGGGAGGACACACTCAGACAGAGAACAGAAAGTAAGCAGCAGTCTGTTAAGAATCCAACAGTGCCAAGAAAAGTGCAGAAAAGCTGGGGGTGGGCTGGGTCGAGCGAGGGAGGACAAAGAAGGGTGCACCAGAGCATTCAAGGTGTTCGGAGTGCCTGAGGAAGGGCAGCTGACCTGAGAAGAGGGCCAGGAAGCCCTGAGTGCGGGAGTTGATGACGTCAATCTCATGGAGAGACACAGTGTGCACTACTTCCTTGCGTTTTTGCAGCTCTCCGTCTGGGCACTGCACAAACTTGGTCTACAGGGCCAAGGGCAGGTGTGAGGGCAGCCAGGGCACAGGCCCCACACAGGCCCCCGCAGCCCTACACTGGGACCCCAGGACGTAACAGAAGATATAGACATCCCAGGGCCGGGTGAGGGATGAGCACCTGGGAGCCCATGGCGTCATAGTCTCGGGCTCGAGTGAAAGACCGGCCCAGCTTGGAAATCTTGCCGGTGGCCTTGTCAATGGTGATCACATCCCTGAAGGAACACAGCAAAGAGTAAGAGGACTCCCCTCCCCTCCCCGCCCAGCTACCTTCGTGGTCCGTGGCTCACCCGGCTTGGACCTTGTCCTTCGTCAGGGACTCGATCATCTTGGTACCCAGATCGTAGATGGTCTCCATCTCCGTGGTCTTCAGAGTCAGTTTGCCCACCTTGGATCCCTGAGGGCGACACACCAGCAAAGGCTCAGAGGATCCACCCCTTTATGGCCACAGCATCAAAATGGGTGTGGCACAGGCAGCTAGCTCAAGGAGGGAGGGGGTAGTGCTGGGGTGGTTATGGGCGACAGAACTTAAGCTGTGTCTTGATGTATGAGCCCAGGAGAGGGTTGGGGGAGGAGTTAGACTTAAAATGTTTTTTTCATATCCAAATGACAGGCATTTTGGTTGTTTTTTTTCTGTAGTTCCATGGCTGGAGGCCACCAAGGCACACCCCACACTCTCACATCCACCCTTGGCCAGCAGCAGCGCTCTACCATGGAGCTGTGCACCCTCACAAAGGCTCGTTATACTACCCAGGGTGAACTTGATCCCTGGCTTAAGAGACCACCTGCCTCTGCCTCCCAAGTATCTGACTGCAGTAGAAACATAGAATTTTTGTTAACTACAAAATCAAAGCAGTAAGTAAAAAGACAATTAAACTGGGCCATCAAAATGGGTAGGGCACTTAAAACTAGCCTTCACAACCTTGGGACCCACACAGTAGAAGAATCTACTCCCACAATTTGTTCTCTGACCTCTACACACACACTAAGTAAATGCAAAAACAAAAGAAAAGAAAAAAATCTTTTGCCGGGCGGTGGTGGCGCGCGCCTTTAATTCCAGCACTCGGGAGGCAGAGGCAGGCGG